ATGAGTTTCATGAAGCTTTCACTCATCTGCACAGAATGTACAGCTGTCCTCGGGTTCTAGGAGAGCCTGATTTTATAAATGAGGGGGGAAGCAAACCCTCCACGGTGGGGGGGGGGAGGGTCACCCATCACTAGTCAAGGGAAGGTCTGCACCTGGAATGATGTTTTTCTGCCTGATATCCAGAGTACAACTCACTAGGTTGCCTCTTGGTGTAAACAAACACAGGAGACAGACAGGCAGCAGAAGCCCAGTCGGTCACAAAGCTTTGCTGGGCTGGGTCCAGCTCACCCGCCTTCCCTCCATCTTTCCAGCCGGGCCAGTGTCACCTTCAAGTTTCCCCAGCATCCTTAGGAGAAAAGCATCACAAATTCACCTGGTTTCCCGGAACAAGAATGAGCCTTTCAAAGCGGCTTCGGCTAGAACGAAAGGACGCGCCTGCAATCCACACAGAGGAACAGTTTCCTTCTGAAGAAACCGTTTCCTTCTGCATTGTGCAGCCGAAGGCCAGGGCTACCGCCTGAATGTCCAGGGCAGCGCAGACAGCAGGAGCTTGCTCAAGCATTTGGGGTTTCCAAGAGCTTATTTCTGAATGACAAGCACTTCTTCAGACATGAAATAGGATTCTGGAGGTTTGAGCACTGCCTCTCATTTGAGGGGATGCAGTACAAACTGATCCTGAGGTGATCAGGCAAGATGGGTGGAAGAAACCCCCACAAATTCTTTTCTCCAGGCTTGCTTGCTTGCTGGCTGGCCCCGGACTGTATGAAATTAAACAACACAGCCTCCCAGATGGTCTGTGATGTTTGCTGGAGAAAGTGTTTCTTTTTCTAAGGAGCTGGAGTTTCTACCGCCTAAAGCCAAACACCTTTTCTGCAAACATCCTTTGCACAGAAATAAAATGTGAGACATGGGGATCTTAGCTCCTGGGATGCATTTATCAAGCCAATCACAGTCATTATAATTAGCACACAAACTAAGTGAAAGCTAAGCATGAAATACATTTGCAGGGAACCTGAACTGCATTCAATTAAGCCCTTGCTTGTTGACATTTTGAAGTATGCCATTAATGTATTTTGGGGGGGAGGGAGAGATTGATCCCCCCACTTCCCAGCCAATATCTCCGGTTGGATGTACCCAAGTCTCCAACAGCATTCAAGAAGGGGGAAGAGGACGTTATTAAGCACTCAACTCAGCTCTGGAGCACAGATGTCCAGAGGCAACTGAACTGGCTATTTCAAACCCTGTCAAATGTATTTGCTGAGCATTCATTTACCCTAGGTTTGTTTTAGGGAAGCAAAAAAGAGAGAATTAAGAAGGTAGGAAATTTGCTTTGCACAGGCCAATCCAGTTTCAATCCCTAGCATCCCATATGGTCCCCCCCCCCCCCACTGCCAGGAGTAATTACTGAGTGCAGAGCCAGGAGTAACCCCTAAGCATCTCTGGGTGTGACCCAAACCTGCACCCCCACCCCCAGCAAATAAACACAACACTGTCACTGTCACCCCGTTGTCCATCGATTTGCTCGAGCAGGACCAGTAACGTCTCCATTGGAGATTTTGTTGTTACTGTGTTTGGCATATCGAATACATCACGGGTAGCTTGCCAGGCTCTGCCGTGCGGGCGAGATACTCTCGGTAGCTTGCCAGGCTCTCCGAGAGGGGCAGAGGAACTGAACTCGAGTCGGCCATGTTGGCTGTGTGCAAGGCAAATGCCCTACCGCTGTGCTATGGCTCCAGCCCACACAACAAAGAAGAGAGAATTTAAGAAGGTTGGGGGCAGACAGGGGGTTACAGCTTCTGTTCCTTCCTCTTTTGGGTAGTGCGTATGGCAATCATTGATGGTCGTCCACCATGCAGAACAGGAACAGTCCAAGGCCCTTCCAGGCAAGTAGGACACTTTCATCACTCAGTTTCAAATCTTTGATAAAATCATGACCTCCTGTATTGCAAACCATAATGCCCCAAAATAGAGAGAGAGTATGGGGAATCATGTCTGCCATGGAGGCAAGGGGAGGGTGGGAAAGGGGGTATACCTGGGATATTGGTTGTGGGGAATGTGCACTGGTGGAGGGATGGGTGTTTGATCATTGTGTGATTGTAACCCAAACATGAAAGCTTGTAACTATCTCACGGTGATTCAAAACACAAACACTGTCCTCCCGTTGTTCATTGATTTGCTCCAGCAGGCCCAGTAACGTCTCCATTGGAGACTTCATTGTTACTGTGTTTGGCATATTGAATACCTCACGGGTAGCTTGCCAGGCTTTGCTGTGCGGGCGAGATACTCTCGGTAGCTTGCCGGGCTCTCGAGAGGGGTGGAGGAATCTAACCCGGTTTGGCCCGGCTGGCTGTGCACAAGGCAAACGCCCTACCGCTGTGCTATTGCTCCAGCCTGGTGATTCAATAAAATTAAAAAAAAAAAAGTAATGACTTTCCTTCCCTCCCCCCCCATACCCTTCAACCCTTCTCTAAGCTGTTATATTTATTTATTTATTTGGGGGGTGGGACTTGCAATGTGCTGCATTGGAGGGGCGGGAAGCATGCAGAAACAAGGATCAAAACCAGGGTTTGATCCCCCATGCAAAGCTTATGCTCCAGTCCTTTGAGCGGTCTGCCTGAACCACCATTCTCATTTTAAATTGTATTTAGGTGGTCTGTCTCCCCTGCTAGACTGTGATCTCATCGAGGTCAGAGATCTTGTCCTTTTTATGAGAAGCTCCAGCACTTAATACAGCCGAGAGACCGGGAAACATTCAAGGAAGAACAATCAAAGAAGTTAATGAATGAATATCCTATGGGGGGGGTGGGAGGGGCTTGTGCCTGAAATAAAATAATCTGCTCCTTCAGATGCCATTCCATCTCTCCTCCCCCCAGACCAATGTCAGATGCCTCTATAGTGGCAATTGCAGAGTACTGGGGGGAGCGTTATTGGGTAATAATGAATGGTCTGCGGTAGAACAACTTAGGAGAGGGAATTTGGGTTGGAGAGGATGGGTGTGAGTTGTGTGTAGGTGTGTTTCACGTGGCACCCTGAGCTCCTTAGAAAGCCACTCTGGAAGAGCAGCATAGACTTGCATTTGCAGGCGGGTGGGTGGGGGGTGCGAGAGTCTGGCTCACACATTGTCTTCTCATTTTGTCTGGGGATGGGAAGGTATAGGATGTTTTTCCCTAGCTATATATAACATTTTTATTTCCAGCTAGCTCCACATGATGTAAATCCACTAAGAAAAGATACAGAGATATTCCGTGTGCCCTTTACCCTGTCCCTTCCCCCTTCACCTGTGACAGGATCACAACCAGGATATTGACAGTGTTACGATCTAACCACCACATTCAGATTTCACCGTTTTTATGGATTTTTTGTTTGTTTGTTTTGGGGCCACACTCATTTGCTCAGGGGTTACTCCTGGCTCTGTGCTCAGGAATCACTCCTGGCGGGCTCTGGGACCACATAGAGTGATGGAGTTGGACCCCAGATCTGTCATGTGCAAGGCAAACACCCTCCCCGCTGGACGATCTCTCTGTCCGCCAAGATTTCACCAGTTTCATAAGCGCCCAGTTGTGTGCGCGTGCATTTACATTTCGGCAAACAGCTTTGACACCAACAGGAGAGGGGGTAGGGCTCCCATCGGATGGCGCCCAGCCCCAGGCATCAGGCTGTCTCCGTTGCACACAGTAGGTGTCCAACCACCATCCCCATAAACACTTGAGCTTTGCTGTCAGGCTGTCGGTGGGTGCGTGCAAGTAGAGAGTGCAACCTTTTCAGGTACAAAACCGAGCCTGAACGACAACGGTCAGCATGTGAGAGCCAAAAAGTGGGCCGGAGTGGTAGGACAACGGAGAGGACGTTTGCCTATGCACGCGGCCCACTAGGGTTCAATCCCCGGCCTCCCATAGGGTCTCCAGAGCACCGCCAGGAGTGGTTCCTGCCTGCAGAGCCAGGTAGTAATCCCTGAGCATCACCGGGTGTGACCCCAAAAGCAAAAAAAAAAAAAAGTTAGCAATACTTCCCACTCCCACCCCTCCACCCCAACCCCGCCCCACTCCCGCCAATCAACTGTGAATGAGCTGCAAGGCTGCTTCTGAGAAAATCTGCTCCACTCAGGAACGCAAGAGCAAGAATGCAAGAAGAAATGCAAGAAGAACTCCCTGTTGGAGATGCGGTGGGGGTGCCGGCGGCGCGGGTGCGCTCTCCACGCGCCCGGGGCTCCTCCCACCCCTGCCTCCACTTTCACCCCTTTCTTCCCCCCAGAGCTGGACTGTTTCACCCCGTCTCCAGGCAACCGCCGGGCGCCGGGCGGGACGTCATTTCCTGAAGAGCCTGCGGGGGGGGAGGGGGCGGGCCGGGGAGGGGGGCGGCGGCGGGGGCGGGGCCAAGTCGGGGCCGGCGGTGGAGACGGCGTCGGAACTCGCTGCGCGGCTGGGCCGGCTCAACAGTTCGCCAAGTCCGGGCGGCGCTGGGGCGCGCGCAGGGGGTCCGCCCGGACATGCCTTGCAGCCCGCTCCGAGGGGCTCGGGGACTCGAGCGCCCCGTCCACACTCCAACTTAGGACTTTTATTTATTTATTTATTATTTATTTATTTATTTATTGGGGGGGGCGTTGGGGGGAGGGGGTTCCCCCAGCCCGACAGGAGTAGGCGGCCCGGCTGGGGGAGCCCCGGGGCGCGGTGTGACGGGGCGGGCACGTCTCCTCCGGCATGTAGCGCCGCGTCCTGTGCCAGTGGACAGCTCCGGGACCCCCGCCCCCTCCCCGGAGACCCCGCCGGGACGCCGCCGCCGCCGCCGCCCGTCTCCTCCGTGTCCTCTGCACACTCCGGCCGCCGGCTCTGCGCACCCCCCGCGACTCCACTTTGACGCGCCTCCGGGGGACCTCGGCAGCGGGCTCGGCGACCCTCCCGGGGACGCGGCGGGTGTCGGCGCCCCGCGCCCCGGTGCGCGCGCGCGCCTCCCCGGGGATCCAGCCGCCGGACGGACGTCCCCGCGCGTGCTCCCCCGCCACACACCTGCCCTCCCCGAGGGCCCCGGCGGTCCGAGCGTGCCCGCACCCCCCGCCGCCCGGGCGCCGGCGGGGAGATGAACGCGCCGCTGGACGGCCTGTCGGTGAGCTCGTCCTGCACCGGCTCGCTGGGCTCGGCGGCCGGCGGCGGGGGCGCGGGGCTGCGGCTGCTGTCCGCCAACGTGCGCCAGCTGCACCAGGCGCTGACGGCGCTGCTGAGCGAGGCGGAGCGGGAGCGCTTCACGCACTGTCTCAACGCCTACCACGCGCGCCGCAACGTCTTCGACCTGGTGCGCACCCTGCGCGTGCTGTTGGACAGCCCGGTCAAGCGGCGCCTGCTGCCCATGCTGCGCCTGGTCATCCCCCGCTCCGACCAGCTGCTCTTCGACCAGTACACGGCCGAGGGCCTCTACCTGCCTGCCGCCACCACCGCCGCCGCCGCTGCCACCGCCGCCACCGCTACCACCACCGCCCCCGCCTACCGGCAGCCCGTCTGGGCTGGCCCCGACGGCGCGGGGCCGGCGGGAGAGGTGCGCGTGGTGAGCCTGCGGCGCGCCAAGGCCCAGGAGGGCTTAGGCTTCAGCATCCGAGGGGGCTCCGAGCACGGCGTGGGCATCTATGTGTCGCTGGTGGAGCCCGGGTCTCTGGCCGAGAAGGAAGGGTTGCGAGTCGGCGATCAGATTCTGCGTGTCAACGACAAATCTCTGGCCCGGGTGACGCACGCAGAGGCCGTCAAGGTAGGGTCCTTGTTTGCAGTAGTGATTAGCCCTCCCCCCACCCCACCCCCGCAATGAACCAGCCCCTCATTAGCCCCATGGTCTGCAACCTGAGGCGCCTCCTTTGAGCTTCCTGAGCCCCCCTGGACGTCAGGTTTTCTGAGCAAAAGTAGTTTGACAGGCCAGGGGTTATAGTGATCAACACCCTCCACTTGGCCCCCGCCTTTGCTTTCATGCGGGGGCATAGAGGCAAATGCCAGGGAGAGAATTACCAAGTACTCAGCAGATGTGTGATTACAAAGTGTGAAAGGACTGTGGATTTTATGAGCGTTCAAAGGAGAAGGTCTCTGCTTGGCACTTGGTTAATAATCAGCGGGTGGATTCAGTCTCCGCGTGATGCTCTACGCTTTGGGCCATGGTGGGGAGTTCTATTAGGTCCAGAGTGACCTGGGAGGCTGTTTGGGTTGGGCCTGCCCAGGCTGTGTCTCTTGGGACAGACAGGTCTCTTGTGTTCTGGGAACCTCTGGATCTTCTCTTGAAAAATGGGAGCAGCCAGTTGGGTGTGCATATCCCCCTGATGACCTTGTTGGATATAAGGTCCCTGCTTGAGTGTAAGGAAGATGCCCCAACCCCTTTGAGGGCAGTTGCTCTCCTGTGTGGGTTCATGGAGAGAAATAACTTACAAATCACAGGCTCCTTAGGGTAGATATCTCCCTGTTTCAAGAAACATGCCAGTTGCTGAGCTCATGTCCAAGGGGTGTTTCAAACCAGCTAGAGAAAGATTGTTTGGTATGTATTCTGGAAAGCATACACCTCTCTCTCTCTCTCTCTCTCTCTCTCTCTCTCTCTCTCTCACACACACACGCACACACACACACACACAGATCTGCAGATTTGCTGTCCAGGTGTCCAGGGGTTTGGACAGACCATTGACCTAGCCTCTCACCCCTGCCCCAGGCCCCAGAGGCTGCTGGGAAGCTCTGAGACAGACCAGAGCTACTTCCGGTGTACTGGCCAGTGACCCATGTCAGGTGTCTTGCACTCACCTGGAGCATATCCATCTCATCTCTGACCTTGGCTTTCACTCAGTTCCCAACCTGTCGTCCTTCCCTAACCCCCACCTTCCCCCTCCTGTGCCCACCTCCCTATCTCCCCAAAAGCTGGGGACACCTCTGAGGATTTGGGAAACTTTGCTGCTTTGGGGAAAATCCATCATTTGAGGGGAGACGGGGAAGAGACAGACAAAGCTTATTTAGGTATCTGCCAAGTACCCATCCTTGTCTCCTGCTCCCCCCAACCAATCCATCTTTTCTCTTTATCTAGCAAATCTGTATCATTAGAAAGAAATAGTCCATTAGCCTTTGGCCCTTGGAGGGCTGGAGTTCCTGAATGATAAATTTATACTCTAAAAATACTGGATCCAAACGGTCATTTATAAATGTAGATTCCATTTTAGTGGCAATTTTAAAAGACTTGGGTAACTTAATCATCAGAAGGTGATGGACTTTGGAAGGGTGGGGGGACCCAGGCGGTGAAACCCACACAGCCCTTCCTGCCTCAGTTCCCTCCAGACTCAGCCATGCTCCAGGCCCCAGCTAGTGGGCTCACTTTCCGTCCCCCAGGCTTTGGACCTGGGCCCTAACATCTCACGGTGGCCACCGAGTAGACCAGGAGTGGCGTGTTGACCTCAGGGGCTTCCAGAGTAAGACCTATAATAAGCTCTTGTTGGCATCCTTCTGGAAGCCTTTAGAACTCAGTCTTGCAGCCCAGGGAGGGGAGGCTGTTGCAGAGTTGCCTTCAGATCTGTGGGCGCCTCGATGGATGGGTGGGGAGAGCCATGCAGCCTTTCCCCCTGGCTCTGTGGTCTTTTCACCAGGGAAACCCCTCTGGGCCTAGGGCTGCCTATCTTTCCCATCACCCATCTTGCCAGATCCCAGCCTGTAGGGGGACGCCTCCCTCTGGACTCTTGAGAAGCAACAGGAAAATGAGTGTCGCCTTGTGTCACCTTAGCTGCTGGAGAAAGGGGCCGGACTTTCCGTGGGTGGAATTTAAAACGCAGGAGGTGGCCCCCAGGCTCCGAGGCTGCACGGGGGTGGGGGAAGTCAGGCAGAGTTTAAAAGCGCTCCTGGAGAGCTGTTGATGCCTTGCGGCACAATTAAGGGTGTTAAGTGTGCTCACCAAAAAGCAAAGAGCTTGTCTACCAGGTACAAACTGTCCTCCAGCGGTCTCTGACTCAGCCCCACTGGAAGCTACAGTGTCTGTTTTTTGTTTGTTTGTTTGTTTGTTTTTTAATTTTTATATATTTATGTATTGAAACACCATGAGATACACAGTTACAAAGCTATTCATGGTTGAGTTTCAGTCATACAGTGTTCCAGTACCTCCAATGTACATTTCCCACCACCACTGGCCCCAGTTTCCCTCCTGCCTCCTGCCACCCCCTCCACTACCCTCACTTCCCAGGAGTTTCGGGATTAGGGGAAAAAATACCGTCTTGGTTCCTCACCTGCAGACTTACACTGCAGATTTCTCTGCTCCTGTCCTTTTTCTGTTCTAGAAGAGCATGTAGCATTTAGATTTGCTTGTTTTGCATGCTTTCTTCTTCTTCCGTTTTATTTATTTGTTTATTTTTAATTTGTTGGATTTCCAGCTCTATTGCTTTGTAACAGAGAAACACAAATATATTTAAGATGTGCAGAGTGATGGTCTAACTAGACATTGTAAAATGATTACCGTAATCAAGCAGTTTAGAATGGTCATTTGTGTGTGTGTTAAGATCTTAGCAGATTGAAGGGGTACAATTTGGTCCTTTTGTTTTGTTTTGGGGCCATACTCAGCGCTGCTGCTCAGGGATCACTCCTGGCAGAGGCTGGAGGACCATAGTGGGGCTGGGAATCGAACCCAGATCAACCGTGTGCAAAGCAGGTGCTTCACTGCCATTCGTACAATCTCCTGCCACAGTTGGGTCTTCTCATGTGATCTTTACAGTATGGTCTATAGAAAGTAGTCTTTGTATTTCTTTTTTCCAGAGGGTGGGGAATCTCCCAGGCAAGTGCTCAGGAGGCTCTAGGTCCCATCCCTGCAATTCTTTTATTTTTTATTCTTGAATCATCGTGAGATACAGTTACAAGCTTTCATGTTTGAGTTTCAATCATACAATGACCAAACACCCATCCCTCCATCAGTGCACATTCTCCACCACCAATGTTCCCAGTATCCCCCACTTTCTAATCCTCCCCCTGCCTCTATGGCAGACAATTTTCCCCATTCTCTCTCTCTCTCTCTCTCTCTCTCTCTCTCTCTCTCTCTCTGCTTTTGGGCATTATGGTTTGCAGTACAGATACTGAGAGGTTATCACGTTTGGTCCTTTCAGCACACATCTCCCATCCTGAATGATCCTTCCAGCCATCATTGTCTTAGTGATTCCTTCTCTATTCCAGCTGCCTTCTCCCCCAGCTCATGAGACAGGCTTCCAACTATGGGGCAATATTCCTGGCCCTTGTGGCTACTGTCCTTGGGTGTCACTATCATGTTGTTATATATTCCACAGATGAGTGCAGTCCTTCTGTGTCTGTCCCTCTCTTTCTGACTCATTTCACTTAACATGATACTCTCCGTGCCCATCCACTTATAAGCAAATTTCATGACTTCATCTCTCCTGATAGCTGCATAGTATTCCATCGTATAGTTGTACCAAAGTTTCTTTAACCATTCATCTGTTTTCGGGCACTCGGGTTGTTTCCAGATTCTGGCTATTGTGAACAGTGCTGCAGTGAACATACAGGTGCAGATGTCATTTCTACTGTGCTTTTTTTGCACCTTCACATCCCTGCAATTCTGGGCAAACAGGCAGTTGGTGTTTTAATTCGAAGACCCTGCATAAGGGGCTTAGAGAGCCTTCTGGGAATACCTGGGGAATGTGGTGCAGGGGATTGAACCCAGGTTGCTGCATGCAAGGCCTGCACCCTAAGCCCTCCACATCTCTGACCCCTAGTTTTTTTTTTCTTTTTGGGTCACACCCGGCGATGCGCAGGGGTTACTCCTGGCTCTGCACTCAGGAGTTACTCCTGGTGGTGCTCAGGGGACCATATGGGATGCTGGGAATCGAACCTGGGTTGGCCGCGTGCAAGGCAAACACCCTACCCGCTGTGCTATCTCACTAGTCCCACCCCTAGTATTTTTAAGCGCAATCATGATGCTATACATTACAGTCCCAGAATCTTTTTTTTTTTTAAGTGTTCTATATCCTTTAAATTCTGGGCTTTTTTGAGGGGGGGTATTACTACTTGGTGATGTTCAGGGGTCACTCCTGGCTTTCACTCAGGGATTACTCTAGTGATGTGCAGGGTACCACATGGGATGCAGGGTTCAAACCTGGGTCAGCACAGTGCAAGACGAATGTCAGACTGGCTGTACAGTGGCCCCGCCCTCTCCCAGAATCTTTGAAAAAATGCATGTCTGTCCTCTTTGACCAACGTCTTCCCATTTCCTCTGTGCCCAAGCTCCGAGCCACCATTCTACATTCTATCTCTGCTTCCAGGAGTGACATTTTCAGGTTGCACAAGTGCGGGAGAACTTACAGTGCCTGCTATTTCACTTAGTCTCAGGCCTCCAGATTCATCCATCTTGTCAAATGGCAGGATTTCCTTCATTTTTCCTTTGTGGCTAAATCATATTCCACATATATATACATACATCACATCAGCTCTGTTCATCTTTTAGGAGACACTTGGAAGCCTCCATGCCTCGACTATGGAGATGTGTTTACAGATGTGTTATGGGGTAAGGGGGAGAACTCAAAAGTCTGAGCCAGTGTTCGATCCCCAACTCCACAAGGTCCCCCAAAGCCTGACTGGAAGTAACCTCTAAGAAAAGACCTGGGAGTAGCCCCTGAGCATGGTCAGCTGTGCCCCCAAACAAAATGATGTTTTTCAGTGTTAAAGTCCATTTTTTATTTCTATAGGTAGAAAGAGGAGTATCTGAACTTTTCAAAGGAGAGAGTAATTGTGAGTGTGAAAAGA